CGATCAATCAGCGCGTGCAATGGAAGCCTCACCATTACCGTTTTTCGCCACCAGAAAAGTTCCTCGATACAAACTATTTATATTCGCCATGGGGAAAGGGGAAGGACGACTGGGGATGTGGGAAGTCCTTAAACCTTTCCCGACTCTCCTGGTCCAAAATCCCATTAATGTTGCTGATGTGTTCATCGCCTGCTCTGGTAGAATCATCCATGGAACGGAGGGGGAAGTGCATATCCTCAACCTGTATGAGAAGGATCACCATGAGGCCCCTTACGAATGGGACGAGAGGCTACCAATACCAATTCAATTCTTCATGAACGGAACTGCGGGGATTGTCGTTCGCGAATCTCTCTTCCTCCTCGGTGGAGAGGGAAATCCCCTGGAAATACGCCGACTGGACCTCAGTACAGGGACATGGTCGACCCTTTCACCAATGAGAGAACGGCGAGTGAAGGCTGCGTCTGTATTATGGGACCCACACACTATCCTAGTCCTGGGGGGGAAGGACCCCGAGGCAGGGAAGCAATTATCCAGCTGCGAGCATTTCGACGTGAGATTCGGCAAGTGGTCTCACTTTGCCAATGACATACCTTTTCCTCTCGATAGTCACGCAGTCGCCGTGTACGATGACCACGTATATGTCTCCGGAGGATGGGATGGGGAGGAATCCAGGAAGGAGGTGTGGAAGTGTAGGATGAATGGAGGAGGACCCTGGGAGACCATGGCATCTTTCAACGTAAGGAGACACTCCCATGGCATGATAAGCGACGGGGCAGGGAGATTCTCTGTCGTCGGAGGAAGGCAGCAGAGAGGTCGAGATATGACAGAGGTCCTTGACAGAGAGCTCTTGACCCTGGTGGAAGAGGGTGAATGGGTAACCCAGGACACACTTCCATTCTTGCATATTTCAAAAGCGACAGAGATGACCTGAACTTCTGTAATGTTGGAGTCCATTCTCCTCTAACCCATGGAGTAATGGGGGCAGAGGAAGACGAAAGGTGTCACTGAATAATGAATAACTGGTCAAGTGTCCTTCTAGACATCAATCGAGGCATTGGTGTTGATATCTCAGATATTGGTGGCAATATCTGAAAATGCAGCGATTCCATTTCATGGAAAGAATGTTAAGAGAATATAACTAGATGTTACTAGTTTTTTCTCCTTTAGTAGCATTCCCTCTCATACATTTGTCAAAAGTTTCCATTTTTTTATTTAAAGTAAATGCGAAATTGGCGACAGTCGAAAATAAATTGTTTTTCTTGTATTCCACGTGTTCAGAACTTAATTTGTACTACTGCGAAGAAAAAACGCACAGTAATTTAAATTGCTATACCTGGAATTCAGTCACCACTATGGCAACATCAGTTCCAGATATGTATAGGGTGTCTCATTTAATACTCCTGGCTGAGGTCTCTAAATTTGAAGCAAATGATAACCAATTAAGCAATTAACACTTTCGAAACTCCTACCGAATATTAAGTAGGTATTTGTCATTTGTTCCTAGGTTTCATTTGATTCGGTGCAACTGTTCTTGAGATACTGCTGAAAAAGTAAATTGAAGCCATTTTGACGCTTGACTGAGAACAGTAGCTCATGGGTGGTGTCCTCAAAAATCGTCATGCATGTGTTGTATGCAAGAAAATGCAGTCTTCCTTATGAATCATCATTTTTCGTGCATTGCGTGTTTCTGAGTTTAGAATGTCTCGTATCTCGACTCACAGAAAAAGCGTTCAAATTAATCGTTTTGGAGATTGAGCGAAGTAATTTCTCGAATACCACTACCAGCTAAGAAAATGCATGGCGAACCGTGGAATCCACTTCAAAGTCACTGCGATCAATGAACGAGACGATGAATACATTTCTCTAAGGCAGGTAGATGAGCATTAAAGGGTTATTTCTGATAGATCTCTTCTAACAAATGTAAACATGACTGAAGCACAGATTGGAACCCAAAATCCCAGCTACAAAACTTTGTGGATTTGTTGCCTACACAAAAATAAAAAAAATCCCTTGCAAGTATGGCTAACTGAAAACGTTGAGTGAAATTGCAGCATGAGTTTGAAATGCTATATTTTTCGTATGTCCACTACCCCATTCAAAGAGTTATATGGGGAAGCATGGTTCAGTTTTTAACAAGAACAAGGCCAGGTTATACGAATAAAAGGGTGTTCGTAGAACCCATTTGCATTGGCTATAAGAACAAGCAAACATGAAAATTAAAACTCACGCAACTACCTATTATTTTCAGAGAATCATATCTGCAGTGAAATTTTATTCGTGATTGAATACAACTTAAGCAAATAGGTTTTGTGGCTGGAGTGTTTAGTTCTCACCCAGTGTTTAAGGTGTCCCGATAGACTATCGTTCCCCTAAGGTGTGGAAAATAATAAGGGACTCTATCGGCGACTAGGTGAATCGTATCGGCTGTTAGAGTTATATGAGACTTACCATCTCTTAAAGTAAAAAATACGAATATGCTTAATTTTCTTTTATAGCCCAAGAAGTATGTGTTGACTTTCCCAATATCCAATCTCGCAATTTACTGTGATTTTCTCTAATTCTCGTCCGCCACTTGTGTGCACATTTTGCAGCTCATTGTGACCTCAGGACAATTTACTGCCCTCTATGTATGTCCACACGTGAAAAGGGGAAATAAAAAGGAAGTATATTATCCATATATTTTAATAGAATGTTTGCAGCAACAAAAATGCTTTTCCATATCCACATTCAGTATATATATTTCGTCAAAGTAGGGTAATTTAAAAGAGTACAAATCCACTAGTCCATTCCACTAGTCAATCAGACATTCAACCAACGATGACAAAAGAGAACATTCCAAAATTGATTTTATTAATTAATAAATTAAGAAGAGAAAAAGAAACCAAGCCAACGGCGATTTGCCTCTAAAATGTAAATGTGTACCCTCTTGATTTTAAAATTTAAACTGGTGATTATTCTACCCATTTGATCGGCATCAGCTTTGAACAGTTTATCGTGATCAGTTGTTGGTGGAAAAAATGCCCATGGCTCAATTTTAAAGAAATGTCCTCTGGAAAATACACAGCAAATAAAAAACCCACCTTGAATACGTCTAGATATAAAATGGTTGGAGTGCGAATGCGTTCCTGGTAAGATGGTACGTGGGTGGACCTTGATTAATGATTCCGGATGTTGATGTCACTGAGTACATAGCAAGGCTTTCAGTGTTACATAGATTAAAAGTAGCCTATCAAGCATATGGATCGGCCGTGTATCACTAAAAGGGTTTAAGTTCGAATCAACTGGGGAGTTATGACACTCTCACTTTTTCCGTACAGGTTTGCGTTCTACATTGACTCTCCATTTTGAAAAACAAGGAGAAAAGCCCCAAACGTGAATAAACCATATAAAAGCAAGTCCCAGAAGGTATAGCATCAATTCATGAGATCCTATTCAAATTTCAAGCTGGTTGGTCCGGTTTAGACATAGTGAGAGGTCAATTTCCTTTGAAACTGACCTATCACTAACCATCAGATTCCCAAGGTGACGATTTATCCGCTCTTTCTGATGGGAAGCAATTCTGCTTGAGAGCAAAAGAGTTAAGAATCAGAAGGCCAAACATTGGACAACATTGGATTGGATTCACGGAATTACATTATGCCCATGCATAACGTATGTATGGGTATCGTTTTAGCTGGAAGGAGAATTATTAAACTCCTAATTATGCCGAAATGTTGATATGGAGAAAACGACAAAACTCCCCAAACAGCCAGCATAGTTTACAAATAATTATTACATTCAAACTCTAAATAGGGCGGTTTTTTTGTTTATGTTGGTACCACGCACGTAGAGTCGTTCATGAGTTGCTTACCCTGAAGCATAGGTCCACGGAGACATGGACAACTGAAACAACTAATTTGACAATTGTTACCTGGTTATTGCCTTCATGATACGAAGAGGTTAAAAGTAATACAGTATTTGATTGAAAGGATTAGTACTTGGATGTTAAAAATGTGTCGGATGCTGTTTCCAGGGTATTGGAACGGAACTTCGTTCCACGTTCCGTTCTGTGCCACAATTATTCATTTTCTTCCGCTCCGTCCCAGGAAACATAGGATGGCTGAAAAAAAACACTACCTTTTTCAATGGGAGAAACTCATTTTCATAAATGCAGCAAAAAAAATTACGTTTGATACGCAATCGATATTTGACAGTCATAAGGTGTTGAAATATTTACCAGCTTTTTTTCAGCACCCCTGCCAAAGCCGTGCAAATCCCATTTATAGGTGAATTAAAGGTGCTTAGAAGTGGATTATTCCCCGTCAAGTGAGGTGATTACCTTTGCTCGACACCCTGCTGAAAAAACCTAACTTCAAACTCATGAGCTCTCATGAGACCTCACGACTTTCTCACGAGGTTGTCCGAATATCTCATGAGGAAATCCACATTATGTAACCCTCATGAGGTACTTAACGAGGTCTCACGACCTTCTTATGAGAATTGTGCGGTTCCTCATGAGGCTCCGAAACGTCCTCATGAAACCTCATGTGACCGCCTGTTCGAAAACTTCATGAGGATCTCATGAGGTTTCTTCTGCAGTGCACAACAGACGCGAGATGGCGACTGTATAGCCGCTCTGATGGGATGAATGCCCTGATCTCACTGGAACATCTCTCCTGTACTCACAAAGTTGTTTGCATTTTTATTCTACATTGAACATAATCAAGTATATTTGATTTCCTAAAAACACTTGTCCGAAGAGATAGCCCGGTTTAAGGAAATTTCAGACAATTCTGGCCTACAAGATGGAATTACGCATTGAGGATGGAATAAATGACAGTTGTTTAACCAAAAATATTCTTTCGTATATGATTACTTCTCGTTTAAGGACTCGTGGAACCTTCCAAGCTGAGTCCCAAGAGCCTTTTCGTGGCTATTGGGCCACGAGGCTAATGGCGCCTCTGGCGATACCCAATGATTTGCCTGAACATAACAATAAATGCCCACATTATCAATAGTCTCTCGGGAATATGCATCTTTATTCTCAACCGGAATCAGACTCATTTGAAGAACAATAGCTTGAAGCTTCCTCTTATGTCCAGCTGCGGTCGTTGCCCGAAATTTCCAGGCTTGTCAGCCACTTTTTTATGGACCTTCACAAAACATTCCCTTAATAAGAAACATGTAGGTGTGACGAACAAGGTTGATTTGAAAGAACGCACCTCTCTCATGAGACTAAGAAAGTCTATTCTGTCCATTTCATTGGAATGAGCTTCAAAGACGTCGCAGATGGCCTGGATGAACCACGATCCTTTGGTGGGCCTCACGGAAACGTGATCTAAGAAATGTCAGTGTATGCAAATTAGTTGCAATATTCGCTGAATTACCAGAAAAATAAACATTAAATAGCAATAAAAAATGAGAAAACGGAAATAAACATGAAGGGCAATGCCCAGTTGAAAAAAAAAATTCATGGAAAGCTTTGTATCTCATAAGCATCAATTTGTAGCGGCATCCAGATTAACATTTTTTATACAAAAATTGTCAACAAGCCAAACAAATGTTCTAATTATGCAGGTGCGGTATTGGATCTCCAGGTTTTCCGTGTAGTCTCAGGCGTTCAGGAAATGGTGCTCTCTTTTCCCTCCGAAATACCACACTTTTTCCTCTCATGCGCAGACGCGAAATAAATCTCGAAGCCAAGGATAATCATCGATGAAGGTGAAGACACTGAATCAAAGGTTTTAATGATTGGTTATTGCTTCCCAATGTCGTGCGGAAATTTCAAAGACATGAATCGTAGACAGAACGAGTTTGGGACCAACTACAACACTAGCATTCCGAGTTGGATATTTTTTGTCATGATTTTCGCAGATCGACATACTTGGGAATCCACGATCATATAACGTTCGTTCAAAACTGTTATGAGAAGGTGGCGCTGATGAGGCGGATACGGTTCTCATATGCATACTTGAGCGCCATCTTCGAATGCGTTCCGATCGGGTGAACCTGAAACGAGCATGGACTTCTCAGACCCTCTTTCGCAATCTTTCCACGTCCCCACGTACAATCGTCGGAGTCCCTTTTCATCCAGCTGTAGGAAGGATGATTTCCTCGCCGGTTTTGAGATATTCCCCCTTACAATTATCGGAATTCCGACCCCTTTATTCATCGGCACTTTTTCCATCGATCACGACCTCATCCGCTTCATCTGTAAAGTCCATCTCCATCGCTTTTCATGCAAGCCTATGAATGAAATATACAGATATGGAAACGGGATGGTTACGACACGACCGGCGGCATCTTTGCAATCCAAGGAAAAACCTTTCTGTTCCATCCCAGCCAGATAGGATCTCGTCGTTTTCACACTCGGGAGTTACTCTCCTTCGCGCAGAGAAACACGGGACTTCAAGTGTTATACGTGGGTTTTCCTCTGTGAAAGTTAATATCGAGGTATGAACATCATTTAGTTGGGGGGGGGGGGGGGGGGGGGGGGGGCGATAAGCGTTTGCGTCCCAGGGAGGTTGNGGGGGGGGGGCGCAAGGCGTACAATGACTCTCCCGTTCTCAAGAACGGGGCCGACATTCGCAAAGGCTGGAGAGAACGTGCGAGCTCGAGAGCGTGAGCTGGGCACTCCAACCGGCGGGGAATCTTCTTTAAATTGTTTCTTGGGAATTCCCAAGCTCAGTCAGCAGCCCTAAAACTCAGCGGCCCCAACAACGATATAATCAGCAGCCCCTTTCTCCCGTTCTCAAGATTGACTTCTGGAAGACTTCCACGAACTTCGGGTCGGTCTAAGCCAGGGGTGTTAAACTGCCGGCCAACTACTTCATTTCGTCCGGAATGCAAATTCATCTATAAGTATATAAAGAAAAAGTCTACACTTTTCCAAAACCGGCTGTTGAGTTGGTTTTGGAAAAGTATAGACTTTATCAACCCTGATAGTAATTGAAACTTTTGTGTAAGATTTGCTGATGTGGACCCAACTGCTGCTGAAGTGTTACATGAGGACGCCAGCTTAATGAAGTTTGACATATCTAGCCTAGGCTAAGCCTGTAATGGGGCGTGTCTTCTTTGTTAGCGGCTCAGCTAGCTAGCTAGGCCCCCCAGCATCTGATGACGTCATTTTAAGGCTCACCTTCTCAGCGTCCTCATAGTTCTCTATGTTCCGCTCGCAGCTGCTTGCCCAATAGTGCAATATTGACGTCATTAACACGTTGACGACCAGCCTATTTTTGCGGGGAATCTTCTTTAAATTGTTTCTTGGGAATTCCCAAGCTCAGTCAGCAGCCCTAAAACTCAGCGGCCCCAACAACGATATAATCAGCAGCCCCTTTCTCCCGTTCTCAAGATTGACTTCTGGAAGACTTCCACGAACTTCGGGTCGGTCTAAGCCAGGGGTGTTAAACTGCCGGCCAACTACTTCATTTCGTCCGGAATGCAAATTCATCTATAAGTATATAAAGAAAAAGTCTACACTTTTCCAAAACCGGCTGTTGAGTTGGTTTTGGAAAAGTATAGACTTTATCAACCCTGATAGTAATTGAAACTTTTGTGTAAGATTTGCTGATGTGGACCCAACTGCTGCTGAAGTGTTACATGAGGACGCCAGCTTAATGAAGTTTGACATATCTAGCCTAGGCTAAGCCTGTAATGGGGCGTGNGCTAGATACTCGATATCTGCGCACAAGACGTTTTTTGGAACCTGAATCCTGCCATCAGGACGCATTGTCCCACGTGGCAAAAAATCTGCATCCTGGCATCAGGACGCATTGTCGCCAACGTGTTAAACGCCGTGGTCGTGAAGAGCCAACGCGTCATTTTCGTCGACAGCTGCTAGCGGCTGTAGATAAAGACGCGCCCATGTGGACAGGGTCGTGAAAAGGAATTGTGAGGCCTGGAGTAACATTCACGTAAAGGCTCCCTTTCCCCTCTTTCCCCCCCCCCCCCCCCCGCTTCAGCACACTCAGTCAAATCTTAATTGCTAACAAACGCTACGCCACTAAACACTAATACGTATAGCATCCAGTTTGGGGGCCCCCAGGCAAGAGTCACGGAGCATATTGCCGCATTTGCTCCCCCTCCCTCTCTCTACGTCGTGAACATAGTCGAAAATCCACGAGTTCAGTCAGCACTTGAACAATCTACGCGGCAGCCGCTCCCGTTCTCGAGGACGAATCCAGCAGTCGCGAAGAGACAAAAGAAACTGCTAGCTCAAGAGCTAGACGGAGACCCCAACCCTTGGAATACATCCACAAACTCTGTGTCGGCCTAGGCTAAGTGTGTAGCATTTTCGGATACTCAAGAGTTCAGTGGTGTAGTGGTAGAACGCTTGACCAGCAATCGGAACGTGCCGCTTTCGATTCCCTCTCGCTACTTCGTCTTTCGTCATTTTCGTCACCAGAACTTTTCCCTGCTTCACCCCTCGGGCTATTACGTTCTCAAGGCAGTCGCAACGGTAAAAAAAAATGTGCTCGCCCAAGAGAGGGGAACACACTCGGAGGCATACAGAAGGCGCCGCACATGAACTTGAGGACATACATATGCCAAAGCATAATATATACAGGGTGGGCCAAAAAAAACCTCCCAATATTTGAAGTTTAATAACTTAGGCCTATTTGGCCAATATCAATTTCTTAAAGGGCAAAATGAAGCTTGCTCAATTTCCTTTCAATGATGAAAGTTACCATTGTAGGGAATCAGTGCTTACATGGGAAAGTGGAAGTGGCGATGAAGGTATCATCTGGATAGAAGGGACTTCCTGATCCCAGGCCGTCGATCGGAATACCACCGTCATATGACCCGCACCAAATTTCATCTTGAGTTTTTATCTTATCTGCCCTGTATATGCAAGAAACTAGTAAATTACCGTTGACGTGCATCTCCCAAAACAGTATTGACTGGGAGTGTCAACATTCGTACCGGCATGCCTGAATTATGAAAATCTTTGGTTTCCCCTTCAAGGCTTCCACGGTGCTGAACTTCTGAATGATCCATTCCACTAATAGTGGCTTTTTGTCCGAAGAGTAAACGACAAAAGGTAATTGTTTCAGAGCCTCCCTCATCGTTTCAGTGACCGCACCATGGGATTCGGTACTGGAAGCTGCGACTAAGAGATTAGGATCTGGGATAGCTGGTCCTTGATCTCCATGACTCATGATGACGACAACGCAGCAGTCCCCGCGTACTTTCTCCGCAAAATCATTGATCTCCGCAACCATTTCCTGCTCGGAATGTCAAGAAGACGATATAACAAAAATTTGGACAATGAAAACTTAACTCATCATTGCGTTTTCCATGTCGAAATGTATCAGATTCATGATCGGTTGAAAATGAGATTATAGACAATCCGAATGTTGTCGACAATGCTGTGATTGAGATGATGGGAATTAAAAAGAAAAACATGTTTCAAGAGATAGAAAGATGGATGTTTTGAATTGTAGGAGCCTCGCATTCCGTTAAAGAGATCACTTGAATATCATAATCTTGAAAAGACTAAAGCATACCTCTAGCTTTATGTAACCCATGAGGGCTTCCTTTTCTTCGAGCGGCAGGTGACTGGCGAGTTTTTCAACATCCTCTTTTTTAGTGACTCTGACAGAGAATCCAAAACTCTTGAATAGTTTTTCAATCCTGTCCCTATCTTTTTCTGAACCGATCCGTTTCGTCATTTTATTTTCGTCAAATTCCCTAATGTTCACGATGAGCACCTGTCCTGGTGGGACAGACTCCAACTTGTACACCTGAAAGTGAAAAACGAAATAGGATTATTAAAGTCGTTTGCAAAAATCGCGCCTTTTATGTTTTGGCAGTTAAAGTACATTATGATGATCTCAGAGATGTTAAAATATTGTACGCATGCACACTTGGAGCTCTCTTCTTTCAAAACCAAATGGTAAAGCTTACGTGATTTCGGGGAACTGACATGACGTCACATTAACTTGTGTTAGGTGATATTATTGAAAAACTCCGCACCTTCAGAAAAAGTAATTTGTAGTTTTTTTAATGAAAACAAAAAACAGTATGAGGATGGTTTATTTGTGGTCATCGCAACACTAAAGTTCAATTTTTACATATGATGAGGTGGAAGTGATACGCCATTTTAGGCAAACATGATCCCTGTTTCACTGTCATCTTTTCCCACGTGCGACCTTAGCCAGGAAGTGATGTGTGCTACGACGTCTGTGCTAATGTCTGTATTTTGGACTACTGGACTTTCTTGCTTAAATTTGTTAGTAATCACCTTCTAAGATATCCGACCTCCCATGCGATTAGTAATTATGATGTATTACCATTGGAGGTGCCTCCGACCGTAAGCTTTTTTAACCACCTCGTAAATTATGATAGATACCAGCGAGTTGGTTTGCTCTCAGGGCAAACTCCTAACATCCAGGCATTTGCCACTCCACAATGAAAGTAAACCGGATGATGTACATGAATCGTGCGTCATCATCTCTCCCTTCTTCTAAAGCGGAAAACTTGACGAGGTTTAGATATTTCGCTTTGCGACGTCACGTTACCACCTCTTATGAGATGAGAGGTGAAGGATATCATATCATGTCATGTGATGGTTATGTGACGAAAATGAACATTTTGTTCCGAAGAGGGATTTCGATGAGAAGGCCGCCCCCAATATTTCCTACCCAGGGGATACACCCCGAAATTAGAATAGCAATTTATGCTCCAGGGCCTAATGTGTACTCTATCCCAGAATTCTATCCATACCCGATTCACTGGAGACAGCGTTTTTCAGGAAAAACAGGTTCTCAAAAAACGGGGCGCAAATATTTGGGACTGTAAATAGTTTCTTCATGAAACCAGTAGCGCAACAGATACATGTGGACTAAATAATCAGGTCAGCAGTTCATCAACCATTAGCATCTACCGGATTCACAGACGCGTAAAAAATAATTGTGCGAAACATCCTCCTGAAAAAAAGTCTTTCAAATACACCTCAATATCAGAAGCGAGTATTGTTTTCCTTAACCAAAATCCAAAAAAACTACTTGTAAACCACATCTTAGCTTTTTTATTTGCCTATTTTGCAGGTGCAAGAACTTTTGGGGAAGGTAAGCCCTCGAGAAAGGGCCTTTATTGGAATGCTTACTAAAATTTGGATTTTCTTTCGAAATCATGAGACGGAAAAATACCCATTCGGCACAACAATGTTGCATCAACATTGAGAATAGGTTGAAACGTTGAGCTTGGTTGAACTAAAATTCAACGAAAAATCAACATTAATGAAATGCTAGCTATTCATAATTAACCGTATTTTCAGCATTTGGTGACTACTCGTGAATTAGGAAAGTTACTCAGAGACTTTCAGAAGCAAATTTTCTTTCATCGTATTCTCAATGTTGTTTTTACGTGGAGTTATCCACATCATGTCAACAGAAAATAGATTTTACGAATCGACGCGAGATGGCGCTTAACCGTCGATTCTTACCTTGATGCCTTGAAATAAACAGAACCCTGCATTTTTCATATAGTAAATTTTCATATACCCGATATTTTCCCATTTACAGCATAGGGGAAGGAATAGGCATTCCTAGATAGACATGTTTCAGGAGGTAATCAGGCAGAAAGAGACCCAAGGTACTTCTTGTCAGTGAGTCCGAAGAGACACGCTCAATGTTCCTAAATGTCCACATGGCACGCACTTTTATTCAGGCTCATCCATGATGGATAGAGTTTTAACCTCGAGACCTCGAGTTCTAAACTCAGAGGCCTTAGTGGACTGTGGGTTGACACGATCGGCCGGCGACACGACCCAGAGTGGGGGAGGGAGGGGAGAGGAGGGGAGGGGAGGAAAGTCCGTAAAGTTCGATCTGGCGTTGGAGTTTTGGGTCTGGTAGGACCACGATTCGAATCGGACCGATCGAGTCGGTTTCGGAAAATTTAGGAAAATTTGGACTTTGGATTATGGAATTTTCAGTCACTACCCAGAGCAAATTGTTGCAGCCTTTATATGCTGATTCGCCATCCATAATATACCTGTACTTAAATTCATTTTGTATCCACATATTATTATATAATACGCAGTTTACCGAGTCATCTAACTACGAAGGAGGAATCGGGCGAAGGTGAGAGTGGTCTCATATTGATTGCCAGGGCCTAAAACCTTGCACAAAAAATAATGTGTTCATTGATTGCGTGAAAAGTTAATTACTTCATTTCCTTGATGCTACCTGTTAGGCGCTGTCGCTTGGATCGACCAGGCAGTTTCTTCGATCTCAACGATGCCCTTTACATCTGATTGCTAATTGCATTTTTTTACAGCTAATTAACAATTATCCACAAGGGAAAGACTTCCGACTCGCCAAATGGTGCATCTGATATATCAATCGTAGCTTATTGATGAGTAAATTGCGTTTGTGCATATTTTAGATGCGAAATATGAGAAAATAAATAGTAATTTTAATGTGTAGTGCCGTTGAACGTAGGGCGAAACTGCGCGTTTACGCTGGAACAGAAACCCTTATGAGTGGTGATAGGCAAGGCAATTATTTGTTCAGGGTTCGGTGGTGTATTGGTAGCCCTTTGAACAAAAATACAGGAGGCTAGGGGTTCAAGTCCCGGTCGGCCCTCTTCCTTTTTTTGTCCAGTCGAGTCTGTCTCCCCTACCTTCGGTCCTCGTAACAGATGCCCCAAAGAAAAACGCAGCACTCAAACTTTTTCACGCTGTGACTTTGCGTTTTATCTATATACCCTAACTAAATACCCTCAGAAAAAAAAAAACAAGAATAAGGCACATCAAGCGAGCCGCATTCATTCTATGTTTGGCCACACGAGCGAGAAAGTCAGCCTAATATGGGGTGATGATGGAACAGTTGGATTAGAAAATAATCGTGGCCAAAGGCCACAACCCTTTCCTAACCCAACTGACCCATCATTTTCCAAAACAGGTTGACTTTCTCTTTAAGAAAAAGACGCTCTGATAGCGTATTCGCCTGCACCAAAACGAAACTTGATTGCCAACGGAGCTGCTCGCAAATTCGTGTGTCAGGTTGATCCAATAGAGTTTATGTGTATCCCGTGCCAAGCTCAAAATCTTCCCATACATCCAATGCTTGGGTGTTTGAAACGTCAATTTCGTGCCTCATTTGAATGCTAGAAGGCAGATATGCCTGAGAATTGGCAAAAATCCAGTTGAGGGTTGCTTGATTATGTGAGGCATCTCCTTTTATTTATCCAAAGTGTGGCGCTTTGAAATGCTAACGTTATGCCTTTGAATATTTTTCTTTCTCTTACTGTTAATTACAAATTAAACCTGAGTTATTGATGTTTGTTGAAACGCTGTTACCAGCAAAGCGGATCCCGCGGGACGCGAGTGTGGTTTAGTACTAAGCATCTTACTCCAGATGTCACGTCCGACAACGTGCACAGAGACGGAAACAAGTGACCTCCAAATTTGTTTACCGGTAGATGTAACATACATCTACCTATAAGATATCCGGATATTATGGCAGGTTTGACGAATATCATTGTGGTATTTTTCAGCCGTCATCGAACACAAGAAAATTGGGAGAGATGAACTTGCATGCACACCTGCACTAGCAGATTTCTGGAGATTATGAGAAACCGAAAGGAAAACATTTTTTCACGTAAATTGAGCATCAATGTATGGATAGGGTGGGGATGGAGAGATAGTTTCATGTCTCGAGCGTATCTCTTCATCGCAGAAAATTCCACGGAATTCGATCCATAAGGAAGGTGCTAAACTCAATAATTAATGTCGGAATACCAATCAATTTACTGGTAACTGAAGCTTCAAATTGTCATGTCGAGCATATATACTCCCACCCTTCACACTTGTATGCGTAACTTGTTACAGTGTCGGAAGAAAGCCTGAACATGTCTTAAGGTGTAATTACCTGATCATCAGGAATATTGACGTTTCTCCCAGTAAGTGTTGCGATTGAGGAGATTCCAAGACCATTCTGTGAAGGTGCGTAATCATGAAGAGAGCTGGATTGGTCCATCTTCAATGCAAGATCTGCTCACAAAAAAAACAGGTGTATCACAACTGTGCATTAAGGTCGACATTTGTCTGACTTTTTTCTAAATGGTCAACCCCATGAAAATCGAAGCTGGATGCAAATTTGTCAAGTGTAGACCCTATCATATTGCATGTGAAGCTTCTCAAATGGGGGTGGGGATGATATGCATCCTTCTGGAGGCATTTCAACTTCCTTCATTAACCTAATTTCTTTAAGAAACGTGAGCTTCCTGATTTTCAAGCAAGCATACGACAGGGCGTCGCCCCAAAACCCATTTACTATATCCCTAAACACCAACGTTCGTTTTCTGGGCGTGAATCAAAGGTCTTAGCGTTACTGCTTTCTGCTTGTCTCTCCAAGTTGTCTCCTTTGTTTCGTGCGTACTATGCGCACGACAAAATCGAAGGCGAAAATAGAAATGCCTAGCTAGAGCAGCATAAGCTTTCCTCGTACGCCAGCACGGTTTTTTTGCCAGATAGACTCAGGCGTCCCGTAGACATAAATTAGATATATATCATGGTCAAAACAATAAACACCAGGTCCTGCAATACGGAGAGCCAGAAAAGGCCTATTCTGCGCATGACGGCGTATGACCTAATGTGTGCACTCACGCGCTTGTAAGTTCTTTGTGTCTATTCTCCCTCACCCGCTCTCTTCCTTACAAATATTTTAGGAACTTCCTAGACATGTAATATTGAGTCTAATATAAGGGTGCATAACCTACAGCCCCAGGTGCCAGTTCATCCGGCTCGTGATGCTTCCCGAAATTGGACAAACTGTTCATGTACCCTTTCTGGTACTTAATCAGAAAGCAGTGTATCATTCATATTGAAAAAAAGGTAATGCAGTCTGTGGAAGGTCCTTTACTAGTGATTTGGCCCAGTTGAGCTGCAATTTCTTTATTTTCCTTTGCTCCGAGGGATCGGTGAGTTCTTTGTTTCTTTCTCGAACGTAGATAAATAATTGCATCCTTGCAAAACGTCGAGCCAAGGAATTGGTATATCTGGGATCTCTTTCACAAATGCATTTGTAAGTCTCGCCATGATTCCTGGTTCCCAGGATGTATGTTCCTTTTCCAAGCGTTGGAACGCAGACTCCATCATCTTAAGAGAGCTCCATCAGCCAAGCTCTCAATTTCTTCCCCACCCATGTTGGGTGCTCCTGCTTTCCCAAGGATGTGAATGCTGTATGAGATCCAGATTCTGAATATTTATTAAGAATCTTCGATGCCATGAATCAAGTAATGCAATGCAAAGCTTCTCCTTGAATCAGGTCATACACTGCACATTTCTTGGCATTAATTTTTTTCTGGATTCTGGTCTGTATTGCTACCCCAGGTCTCCTTTTCGCACAATTTTTGAAGGAGTTGGCCAGATAAGCAACAGGCATTTGATTCTTGGTTCTAGGCAGATGATATTTCCTCGAAATCCAGGAGAGATTTCGCGTACGCTCTTGGGTACGCTCTTGTTTCGTCGGAGAATCTGTGCTTTTGATGTTTCCGATGAGAACTCGGCCTGACCACCCGCTTACATAGAGTTTCCTCCGGTTGCGAAATCAGGTAGCGTGGGATCACGGAATGTATGTCCCACTTCCTTAATTCTTGAGAAAAGTTCTCAAGAACATCCTGACGCAATCTTCTGGTCAAGATGTATTGGAATTCGTACTTTTCATGCATGAAATCCCACAAACATCTAATATAGGGAATCGTATCGTTCAATTTCCACTTCGTGGAACGTTCTTGCGAGGAAACATTGGATATGGTCATCAGAAAAAGTAGGTTTGATAATTTTTCTAATGCGATTTCGTATGGCAAATTGCTGATTTTTCTTTGTTACGCCCAATTCAAGCCTACAAACCGTACAAACCTCAAGTCAATCATTATGCGAAGCTTCACTGCTGCAAGCCAATTCATAACTCCATCGACTCTATCATTCTCTTTGCTGGTAGTATCACTTGCCTCTTTCAGTATGAAGTTTTCATTTTTCAATTCTTCAATCATCTTATTCAATGATGCGATTCTTTCTCGGAAGCACGTACTCTTTCATCACCACTTTCTTCCTCTTGAGCAAATGGATCAACCTCTTAAAGAGATGAGGGTTGGAGGAGTTCATGCCCCAGTCTTTTCTTGCATCTTACTTCATGACGCTGGTCTCTTTCTGAGCCTCGACAGTTACTTACTTACTCGCCAGTTGACATGACCAAGAAAAGAAGGGGAAGACGCAGGATCGGACGCCGACGACGACTTCTAAGTCTGTTAGTTCTGGCTGATCGACGACGACAAAAAGGTTAGGATTTTCTGCCGCCCAGTGTGGGGGATTGGCTCTAAACCCTTCCCCTCTGATCCAAAAATCATTAATCTGATAATTAATATCATTAGTTTTTGCGCTCATGCCAATGACGATGCTGATAACACCAGGGATATAGCGCACCTGCAATACCTGCAACTTTACATCCTCAGTCAGAAATAGAAATGTCAAGGTGCGATTTCTTATTTCAGCATTAGGTTCAGCTCGAAGGCGCCGCTATCACTTGAAGTCATTAGGCAAGCTCTATCAAAGTAGCTAACTGCACCGTTTGTAACGAAATACAAGCTTACTGTGTCGTTTTTTAACAAAAAATCCAGGCAAAGCGACACAACACAAAGTCCATGAAGGCGTACGATTAGGAGAGGAACATAGGGACTGAGTCGTTTCGCCCTCAACTACTCAGACGGAGACCAGATTGGCAGAGTTTATTGGTGACGTAGTTGATGTACAATGTTCAAAAAAGTGACTACCTACAGGCAAAATTGTTATTATTTACGCTGAAGTAGCGAATTCTTAAATGTTCTTAAATGACTGACAGCGTACCAACCATGGAATCGAGTCTGATCTTTCCTCCTCCTCTACCCATTGTAACTTCCGAAAATTATTTTTCCACATCTGGTGCTTTAGAAATTAAAACATTTCATTTGAATGGAAATGAAATTGAGACTTAAATTCAATAAGAAATTGTAATTTGGATTTATTGCACCAGCATCTGGCAAGCATCATGGTATCGATTGAATTTTGGAGTTTTTGGGGAATTTTAAATCATAGCAATTAGGAATTTACTCAGTTCATTTTTTAAATTATGAATGTGTTCACTGCCGATTTCCAAACATTTCTGAGGCAAGGCAATTGCATGTTAGGCAAAATCTGCTGGATTTCCGGCCTTTATCTCCCATATATTCTTTTTCAAGCTGTTCATATCTTCTGGCTTGTTCCTGTAAACTATGTTTTTCGTAAACTCGTTTCGGATTGTTATGTAATTTTTCTGAACCCGTAATCGAAACAAGGGTCTGAAAAATGAATTAATTAGTCCAATAAGTGTAGGAGATACTTTTTTAAGATGATGAAATCATCGTAAAAGATAAAGCTCCTGTTCGGCATAACGGAATAAAAGGGTCGCGCGGGAGAATCGCGGGGTCGGAGTGTGCCAAGTGAGCTAGTCTGGCAAGGAGTTGAATTGGAGGATAATTAGGAGAATCCTGAGAGAAGACCCGGGATATTCAGTGGACTCTTGACGTTAGTGCTGGGGATCGTATACTGTCTCTCACCCCACCAACACCACTCTGGTTTATCTTCAGGTATTGCTCGTTGAGTATCTATTGCCTAATAAGCATTTAAAGGGAACCAAATTTTAATTTTTATACGATATCCATTTTCTGATTTTCCTTATTATTGACCTCTTTCCAAGCTGGTTGTCATAATAAAGTAATTGTTTAGTTAAGGAGTGAATGGAGTCATTATAAATCTCGAACACGCTGGCGATCTCTTCGTGATAATCATTAACATTAAAACATGTCGGAGCCGCCTACATAAGACTAAAGATTTGAGGGATGTGACACCATCCCTTGGTCTATCGATGAAGAGGCTACACAAATATAATACATGATGAAGGAGTTCGCCGTTACAATGTGCATTCCACCCTTAAATCGAATTAATTGAATCTTGATTTGTTGAGGGGGGGTGCAATTTCTTAGACTTAGGTATATTGCTCCTGAATTCCTGAAGAAACGAGCCGAATCACATTGGCTTCGTTAGCTTTTCATGTCTTCAGCATTCCTATCCTACTCATGATCACTTTCCTCAGTGGTGATGTTGTCCTCAACACGTGCCAAAGTGATCATTTAATCGGGACGTCTTCGAATTTGCGCGAAGCATGGAAGCAAAGAAATCGTACAGAATCTTGATCCTGTATTCGCTATTCGCAGCAAATTCCCCCTATCGTCTTTCGGGGGTCTATGAAAAAGCCTTTCAAAAATGCTTTTCACCCTACTTCATGTCTTATGAGGATGCAGGATGATACGATATTGCAGCCAACCTCTTCGCTCCTTGCCGGTTTCACCGAAATACCATGATATTAAGCCACAGTATACCTACCGAGATATTAATCGCATACCACAACGCTCTAAGTTAATTTCAAGTTTCACCTTGCATCCATCATTATTGTATAAACTAACAATACAGTGGATGGAGAACCTCATACAAGAGAAAAAAGAATGAAGAAATCAAAAAATGAAGCGAAAACGACTACACGTATACTTACCTCCGCGCAGTTTTTTGGCGAAATCTTCGTCTTTCATTTCGATGAATTTCAGTGATTTGCATACAATATCTTCGTATTTATTCTCCTTGAGGCACTCCAATAAAGTGGGGAATGCCATGTCCCCTCCACAGCGTATCTGCTGATGAAGAAAGAGCACTTTCTCCTTCTTACTCTTTGGCCTTTTCTCTTGGACCATATCCAACCATTCATTACTCTTGATAATCTGTTTCCTCGACAAGGAAAAGAAGATCTTGTCAAGGTCTACGACATCTTCAAAATCGTCATTGCAAGCAAACAACGCATCAGATATTGCTTGATAATTCATATTTCCTCAGGCCAGCTGTTATCAGTTCCTCCAGCATTCCTGCAAGGCAAAGTGACTTTCCATCATTCTGTTTTAATATATTCTGAAATTCAATCAAATACTCCACAATAAAGGTACAGAAAAACTGAAAATGTCACATGAATGAAAAGGAGATGGAATAATATGCGTCATGGAATACGGAAACATTATGAACAGGGCCCGATTAAGAAGTTGGGAGGCCCGTGGCAAATGGATTCTTCGGGCTTTCCTCCGCCCCCTCCCCTCTCCCAACAATATACCAGGTGCTGCAAGTCGCTTAGAGGGGCCACACGGTTGAGCGCCAGTAGTGCAAGTTTTTATTTAAAATATCTACTTTCTTTTACGCAAATACTTGACGTTTTCCATTTCATTCGTGGGAACCCCCCTCCCCCCCCCGAAACGGGCCGCAGGGCAACAGCCCCCTTTGCCCGCCCTTAATCCGACCCTAATTATAAAGCATTTGAATGTGTCTCCCGTTGAAGCGGCAACAAAGAAAGTTGCAAGAATTGGATCGCGATAACGGATGGGAAATCAGCATGAGCGTAGCAGGTGCATACAATCCGATGGATCCTACGACTCTCATACCGAGGAGCGCTTCGCCCGAATCCTTCATATGCAATCTCAGACTCAATCAAAGGCTGGCTGATAGGTTGGTGGAAACATATCGAATCCGCTAGCGGTCGTACAAACTTGACAATAGAGAGTTTTAGTTACCCTTTTTTGAGGAGGACGGGGATGTGAACGTATTACTAGGCGTTCAAGTTCTAAATTTTTCAATGGCAGTTTGGCTACGCGTTCCAGATCTGGAACGGAGAGTAACATCCACGTATCTCATTGCAGATGGTGTGCAAACGACACCTACCGGTAATTTAAGGGTATGGTCGCCTAAGTGATACACAGCTAAGGAACAACCTGGTAAACTCACAAATCCACAGATATCCAAATGTTATGCATTTCCACCTTGTGTTGATCTACTGCAATTAACTTTTCTTTCCTTAAGAAAGGTTTTCACTTTAGGGATGAATGCCTCAGTTTGCCTATTGGGCTAATGTTCTTGATTCCTTTGTCTGTTCATCATGGTCGCATGTAGACATTGCAACCCTTGGCTACAACCAGAGTTCCTATGTCCTATGTTCCCATCATTCACCATCCCCAGTAATATATTACGCTTCCTTTCTGTCCGTCTCTCACGGCCAAGTAACCGAAGTTCACGTCTGGGTTGCATCCTATTTCTCTGATGGGGAAGAGGACATGTCAGTTGCTGTCTTGGGGATATTTGGCTAAAACCCAAGTTGTGGATGTGAGACAATTGTCAAGAAACCCATCTCGAGCAAAACTTACATTTTCATCAGTCGGGAAACTCTTGTTGCAGACGCGACACACTTGTCTATAAATCCAACCTGAGTATACTGTGCATTGCATTTCAGCTGCTTCGCCAACAATATTAGCTTTCCTTCCTGGATGACTGACTTGAACGAATCACGCGTTTTACCGAAGCTCACGCACTTATCAAGTCGTTCCTGATTGGTGGATGTTCCGTCGCGTTCACGTTCCTGGGAGAACAGTTGGAAGAATCAATCCACGTCTTAGACGTCTTCCTCACGCGTTTTAAAACTGCTAGTGACATCACCAGTGACGTTAGATGTCCTACATTCCTTGTCGTCCTCTCAAGAACGGGTAACGAAAAACTCTCTAGTGTTGTTTTTGAACGCATGGCTAAGTGCTGGTTTCATCATTACTCGGAAAATCGTTTCGGATGCCAAGTATTAACAGATACTTACCATATTTGACCAATTACCATCGTCCATATCCATCGAGGACAACTATCCCTTCATGACGTCACCAAAACTTGAGTGGTTCGAATTCACTAAAAAAAAAAGGCGGATTATGGAATTTTACACGCAATCCTTTCACCTTCACACAAAACTTTCTCGAAAAAGGTTTTATCAGTTTCATTAGGTTTTCCACCACCTGTCAGAATCGGCTATTTTTCTTTGTCATATCCCTCTTAGTGCAACTACGGTAGGTTTACAGCATGGGTTTAACTTGGAGCGGTATATTAAGGGGCGACTTAAATTTACAGTTGTTATTGTGGGCGGATCAGATACTATTTGGGATGCAGTCGTTAAGCTGTCAAGCAAAAATGATTTTAAAAAATCGAGAAATATCGACTCTGTCTCCGACACAGTGACATTAGGGAAAGACGTCTCCGATATAATTACCAAATAACTTCGGCTAATTCATTAACTGTATATAGTAATGTGAAAACCAATTTCAATGGTTTACCTTTCTTCAACCTCTCCCCAACCTCACTCTCACCCTCACACACCTTCTCTACGGAACCCACTAACGTTAGGCCTGGGCCTAACCGACGGACTGTCATCGGGTCACCCCTAGGCCTACCTTTTTTCTTTCATAAGAAACTCAATCCTCGGCATACGAACCAATTAGGCCTATAAGGATTAATCCCTGGTCTTCGAGACACCTCGCTGAGGACGTGTAACGTTAGGCCAATCGTAGGCCTATTCAGTCACTCATAGCACATTTAACAATGAACGTGTAACGTCAGACCAAATGTAGGTCTTTTACGAGTTTCATGAGCCATTTCAGTGTGGTCGGGGAACATTTGGCCTATCCAGAGTTCCTGGAATCGTCTCAACTCGTTCTGAGAAGGTTCTGAAGCCTGCCGCCATCATGTTAATTGAGGGATGTCCGAATGAGGTATCTCCGTATTCCACCAAATCGATCGGTCACTGCAAAACACCGCTTCAATCTTAGCTCATCCCATGAATTCAGCAAATTATTGTCTCCTACTTTAAAAAGAGAGGATCCAGACAACGAAACTAAGGCCGATGAAGTCATGAATCTGGGATAACTGAGGCACGTTATCCGGCATCACTGGAAGACGGGACTGGCCCATCGCGCTAAGCCTAAATTAACAGCATCTAATTTCATTTTTCATGCCGAAATGGTGTATTGAAACCAAAAAAAAGATACTTTTTGTCGCCTCCAGGTCAATATCTTTCGTTTGGTTGGTCTCTTTCCTCCAAAAACTTTCCAGGAGCGGCTACCCAGGGGACGAGAAAAAAATATACCGGAACGACTTTCACATCTCCCAAAAGCGAGATTCAGTGATCTCTGCAGCCCTGGAGAGATAGAACTTCAACTTTTCTGGAGTGATTCTATGGTGAGAGAGGAAGAAGTATGCCAAATTTCATTCACGTCGATGCTCTCAGAAAGGAATACGAGATGAATGAATTTTGTCGCCGGAATGGCGCTACCGCGTCCATTGATAATCATCAAAGGCTGGAGGTCCGACTTAAATATTTGATAAACATTTTTTTCATTTGTCTCTGAAGCGCAGGGGAAGAGAGAGAAGAGGAGAAAATTCGGGATGGTGGACCTTCCCCTTATCAAGCTGCGCCTTCCTCTGTTTCGTCTATATATTTTTTTTCACTCCGCTTTGTACTGTCGCTGAGCTGTGGAATTGTCAAGTGTGTCATACGTGACTCGATGTCAATTCCTTTTTAGGCTTTGATTCATCTGTCTCTCCTTGATGCGTCAGAATTCTGGGGAAAAGCATCGGTCATGCATTCTATGGATTGTCCGATCTAGAAATGAATTACTTCTCAAGTAACGGTCTACCCATTACTAATTTCTCCAGAGATACAACATATAGGGCACCCCAGAATTTCCTCGACTTTTCGCCTAGCCTATGCCCTAAACGCATATGCTATATTAGCCTAAGGCAAGAGGACTATAATACTTTCTTTCTTGGTCATTAGCTAGGCGGAAGGACTTATGTCTAGGCAATTTTGGGATATCCAATTTATACAGGACTGCATAAAAAAAATGGGACTATGAATTTCTTTCCTAGAAGCTTAATAACTCCCAAGTCTAATGGTTCTAAATGGTCCACTTAGAAAGAGGGAAAATATAGCGAAGCGCACTCACGTTTATGGAGGAAAGGCGAAAGTAAGGTGTTCTGTAAACAGAGGAAATCTTGACAGGAAAATAGCTACAGAAGAGAATGAACTGTGCGTAGGAATCGATTGGAACAGATGGCTTCCCTCCGATATCCTCTCAAAGCAGCTGGTGACGATGACACTGTGCTTGATACGGCACGCAAGCTGGGAAGACCTCGCGATCCTACCTTTGCTCCTTGATTATCACCAGCTTCTCTTCCAGGAGATACAGGATGAATCACATGTACGCACGCGCACCCTCGCGCGCACCCGCACACACGCAAGAACAAACGCCCATGGTGTTCCAGCAGTCCCTTGCGTCTTGCTGGGGGCTAGCTATGCCAGCACATTCACGCTAGTGTGAAAAATCGTCCTCGTGCACCAAATGCGTTTGTTACTGTAATTGCACGAAGTACTGTAGCTTACAGATTTGCATGACAGGTTGTGGCTTTCCATCATGAACTGCAGATCGAATTTTGGCAGCAGGATTCTGGTTAAGACAATTCTTAGTAGATGAGCCGTAACAAAAAAGTATAGGTCCTTTGGTAGAAGGCTTGCAATTGTGGTCACATGCCGCTAGTACTTTTATGACGACGTGGATGAGTCTGGTCAAAGTGGAATCCTAAAAAAAATATTTTTCAGCTACATATTCAACAATGTACAAGCAATCTCAGCCTTGCCGAATGTCTTCATCGCAATTGGATGCAATGCGTTTTTGCCATAAGTTGATCGATATCTGACTGCGTGAGAGATATGGAAAAATATTTGCCAGAATGGATATTTTTGCAGTATTCAAAGATTCCATCTTGTCATCTAAATGCCAGGCATGAACGAAGAGCACCCTATCCAGGCCCATATCGCGCATTTTTCTCCTTCATTCACATGTTTTTCCGTCTCCATTCGCTGATCGTGTCGCTGTTCTGAATTTTAGTGCACCATCTCATTTATGGCAGGAAAAAGATCTGTCAACAAATATATGCTATCTTTATTGCCCACTATTACACGTTCTTCCAGTTTCGTGCTGCGTCCCATAAATTCTGTTTAGAGCCCTCAAACCAAAAAAAAACGTGTTCTTTCGTAATGAATGATGAAAATCATCATCATTAAGGATGTCCGGTGCATTTTCTTAACCTTCAAGTTTTAAACAGTATGGCACGTGATGCAATGGGCCGATATCGTTAAAAATGCACAAAAACCTCCTATAATATATCCACATCCAGTTTGTGAAATATAGGGCCGATCGGATGAAATTTACTATCATTCCTTTGAAAAAAAAACTAATTGGCAGGGTTTTCTTTAAACACCATGTAGTGATGATTTTCAATCGGACATACCATTCCAAGACGGGTGAATTCCAACATTCTGGCCAAGAATCTGCTAGTGAGTTCTCACCTCCGACACAGACGAAAATCAAAGCAAGTTTGAATCGCACGAATACTGCCATTAAGCGTTCCAGGACCATTAACTTCACATCGGCCTAGCCTATCATCTAATATATAAAGACGATCGTGACTGACTGACTGACTTACTGACGCTAATTCTAACCATGTTCTAGAAGGGTTAGAAATCTGAAACTTGGTAAACATATACCTTTTGGGATGCAGAGTTAAGAAATAATCCGACTTTGGAGGTACATGCCCTGGGAGTA